GCGTGCGTATGTATGTGTGTGTGTGTGTTTGCGTGTGCGAGGGCATGTGTGCGTGAATTTGCAAATATGTTTTAAAGAGAGGAGAATAATAGAAATTTAAGCAAAGCAAAACAAATTTTAAACCCCCTTAAGCCCCGTTCCCCCCCGCCCCCCCGCCCCTGGTGTTTGTGGGTTTCTGTGGCCATTCCAGAGAAATGAAGATGTGGTAGGAGCCTTGTTTTTCTGGTTTTCTCTCTTTCTCTCTTTCTCTCTTTCTCTCTTATTTTGGCATGCTCTCCCCTTTCCCTGCCCCTTGCCCTCCCCTGCTTTCTCTAAATGTATTGTATGTTTGACCTGTGAAAGATGTAAACATTATGATTCTTCAGGTTACGTCTGTTCTTAACTCTGTATCCGTGTAATAAAGAAAATTTAATATCACCCGCCTGGACTCATGTCTCTGGATTCCTCTTCCTGCGGCTAGAGAGCCAGATTGGAATACAGTACAAGCAAGATGGGACGGCGCTTTGGGGTGGGTGTGCTGGTTCGATGCCCAGACTTCTGGGAGAACGACAGGTGCCTCTGAGCGCGCCAAAGAAAAACAGCACCAACATTGAAGGATGGGAGCAAGTGCTCTCGTCACTTACATTCCTAGTTCTTCGCTTCATCGCTGCAGCAATTATATGTTTACCAAAATGTGTATTTATGGTTTATCTTCTAATGATAATGCAAGGTGGTACTGTATACCTAAAATTAAAATAGAACATGATACTACAACATTGTATGAAGTGGATCGATTCTCTCAAGCGCTGTTTGAGTATAATATAATGTGAATCATCATGTGCTGTCAAGTTAATTCTGACTTTGGGCTGCCCTTTTTAAGGGTTTTCCAGATAAAGGCTACCCAGAAGTGGTTGGCCCTCCCCTTCTCCTGGGGCTCCCTTGGCCCGTACAGCCTGCCCAAGGCCACCCAGGCTGGCTCTTCTCTCTGGAGGGAGGCTGTGGGAGCCATCCACTGAGCTCTCCAGCCAATATAATACTCCACCCAGTTCAAAAACAAAGCAGCCTTTCAGTACACAGCTTCTGAATGACAGCTGCCCGCCTCCCCCAGCATGGCCCTCCTGCTAGCCACAAGGGCTGCACTTTTTTAAAAAAGTAATTTTTCTGAGATCTGCCAAGGACTCTCAGCTGATGGCCGACGATGAGAAGGAGGGTCTTCTCTGGGATGGCCCCCAGGGAGGAGAATGCTCTCTCTGGGGAAACTGCCTGTGGTCTGTGTTGCTGCTGCGGGTTTGTCCTGGCCCACACCTCCCTTTTCCTAGCCACCCACTCGTTGACTCTCGATGGAGCACTTGGAGCAGGGGCTCGGCTGAGACACGGAGGAACATATGGGAAGAGGCGGCACCGCGGCGATTCTGCATCGCTCGGGTTCCCTTCTCGCCTCGTGCTTCTCTCCTTTCTAGGCCTGCCATCTGGCTGAGTTCCCCATTTATTTACTGAAGGAGTTTTATCTCACCCTTTAAAAAAAAAGCAACACCTGGAGAGCTTTATAGACTCACACCCACACCAAGCAGCCCACAATGTAGAAACTCATAGAAGCAATTTTAAAAAATTAAGCTTTTTTAAAAAAAGAATTGTACTTATTATTGTCAGTGCTAAACCACTTCTTTCAAGGATTAAGAGTGAAACAAAAAGCGCTTGTAGAAACATTAGGGCAAAAAAAAGTACACTACTTGGAAATGTCAAGGTGGTTTGTTTGTTTGTTTGTTTGTTCAGTACTTGGAAATGTCAAGGTGTTTTTGTTTATTTGTTTGTTTGTTTGTTTGTTTAGACTATCAGACCTTAAGAAACACCAGAAAACAGAGGTGTTCCCTTTTGCCTCATGGAAGCCAAGGCAGCCCAGTCCCCATGTGGACAGGTGTCCTGCACAGGGCCTGAATCAGACCTTAGAAACACCAGAAAACAGAGGCGTTCCCTTTTGCCTCAGGGAAGCCAAGGCAGGCGAGTCCCGTGTGGACAGGTGTCCTGCACAGGGCCTGAATCTGAAGAGGATGCTGACTCTAAGCCCTGCTTTGGAAGAGGCCACTATCATCACACGTCACCTTGGCTGGTGATGTTTTGAACCCAGGGCACTTGTGAGATCCATGCCTCAACTCCACCAGCAGGAGTGGAGAAGCGGTGGCCCCCCCCAATTCCCCCAGCGGTGGTTGGCTTGCAGCTCCCCTCATCTCTGGCCATGGGCTGCGACTGATGGGTTTTGGAGTCTGCCAGCATTTGGAGGGAGAACACGCTGTCGTCCCCCCCCCCCCCGCCCCCCCCCCCCGGGCGCACCCCCTCGGGGGTTCT